GCCGCGCCCTGCGGCCCGTTAACGGCCGCAGCCGCCGCCGTCCCGGCGCAGAGCTGCCCGCCTCGCTGCGGAGCGGGGAGCGGGCGCTGTTTTACTGATTCCCTACTTCGTTTCCCGTTGAAAACTTGGGGTCTGTTGGTGGTAGGTGGAGGCAGGCGGGCCGGAGGCCGCGCGGGCCCCGGCCCCGTGCCGCCGCGGAGCGCGGTTCGGGCGCTCGGGTGCCGTTTCGTCCCGCGCGGGCCCGGCCGGGGCCGCCGCGGTGCCCTCGGTGGCCTCGCTGCCCCCTCGGTTCCCACCTCCCGGTCCTCACCGTAGCTTGCACCATGTGGATGTTTCACCAGCGTCTGAGTGTTATTGTTGAGTGTTTTGGTTTTTGTGCTCAGCTGTGTAATTAAAGTAGCGTATCTCAGAGGAGCAGTGCCTCAATCTGCCTCTGAAGATGTGTGTGTACGCTACCCGGAGAGAGGGAGAGGCAGAGCAGGTAGCCTGAAGTGATCCAGATGACAAAACACTGTGTTTTGTGCTTCTTAGCATCTGCATTGCTCTTACTTTATGTAGTTAACATTAAATGGACATAATTATGTCTTTTAAATTATTATTTTTTTTTTTGTGCGTTACCAAATGCAGTGGTTTGCTTCAGAACTCCTCTCTCTCCCTTTGTTAAAGGGCTTGCATTTAAACTAAAAATGATGCTAGAGGTATCTTGTTCAGCTGTTTAATTACTCAGTATATTTAGCAGTAAGAAGCTCTGTAGTGGTACAACTTTTGTAGCTAGGAGAAGAAATTGATCCTCATTTGACACTCTGCTGGAGAAGACCGGGATTCATTTACCGTGTAGAATCAATAGTATATGGATGCTATACACATAATAAAGTACTAGAAGCAATAGATTTCCTGGCAGCTGGAAAGTTGATATGTAAGCTGCTCATCCAGTACATTGCACATAAAAGCTAAGGAAACACGAAACGTGACTGAGCTTTACAATTCTCCATGTCTATTTGTCTCGACACCCCAATTTTCCCACTGCTGTGTGTTAGTTGTGTGTCATTAACAGYGTATAATAGCATATATAGCCTAAGCCTGTGCGAGGTGGTGAGGGGAAGSTTCTCACCTGTCTCCTCAGGGTTTTCTTCCTTCACCTGGGCTAGCTAGAGGAATAAAATGATTGTATGGGAATGTCAGGGTACAACAAATCTGTTGCGGCATCTCCAGGCAGAGGTTGAAGGTGGATGGAAGATGGATGCTGATTTTTTTTTAAAGTGTTTAGAAGTATTTAAAAGCGTTTCAAAGTCAGAAGTAAAAGCCTCTAACAACTAAGTTTTTAAAACTTAGCCACCAAAAAGTGAATCAGGCTTAGACGGCAAGACATACATACGTATGTATGTACAGCATGGCCCCAGTGTAGCCTTTAGTTTGTTTTCCCCCATGCCATTCTTTTCCAGGCTCTGTTAGTATACAGGAGATCTAGGAGTTTTTCTTCCTTTTTTTTTTTTTTTTTTTTTCAGGAGAAAGAAGGCACTTTGGAATAAAGAAAGTGATACATGCTGAAACTGTTGGACTTCAATAGCTCTTTTTTTTTTTTTTTTTTTTTTTTCTTGGAGTATTTGCCGTAACTTGCAGCAACTATTGTAGGTAAATGGTGGCTTAATTGTTATTTTTTATCTCTTGTTAAAATAGCGCACACACAAGAAATATGGTTACAACAGATCTCCAAGTTCAAAAAAGGTCACATAGTTTTCTTAATGYGATAAGATCACTATTAATTTTACATGACTTTTACTAGGACTTTTTCTAAACAGAATGAGTGTTAGCCTTGCAAACTGTGAAGTTTGTAGAGATACTTGAGTTTTCTTCAGATAAGCAGTGATACAGGTTTTGAAGTAATTGCCATATATGGCACTGAATTACTTGTTCTTTTAGGTGTACAGTATGTCATACTACATGGCAGCAAGTGCATTTGCTTAGGAATTACTTTCAGTGTTTTTTACTGTCCTGTATGGGAGGAAAAGGAATGTTTTTTTTTGAAGACTCAAGAATAATTACCTTTGATACTGTCTTTTTAATCACCAAATTGGGTGAGGGAGCAAGCGAGTAGAATCCCCTCTGTGGTAACTGAAGGACTTAGGTTCTTTCTCTTCTCTCAAATAGATGTTGAAGCTGGGCAGTTTGGACATCTGAGCTGCATTGGGCAGGGTTTTGTTCATCCTTGCCATTATTTCTTTATCAATGTGCTATAGTGAATGACTTTTAATGTTTAAATTACATATGTTTTTCAAAACATAACTTTGTACACATTCCTTTTATCTGGTAACGGTATCTCCAGTTTCCGTTGCAGAAGGACTTATTTAATGTGTCTTTCCTAGATTGAACTTCTGTGGTCTTTAAATAGCCAAGTAGAGTATTTGAAGTATATTCTGTGTTTGAGTTTTATGTTCATTCACTACTCCCACTCTTCCAAGTGTTCCCACTACAATATCTTCTGTATGACAGAGTTCCTATTATAGACAATTCTTCCCTTTTCAACTCGCATAATTATTCTGCAAGTGCTGTCTCTTAAAAACGTGCTTGACAGGAAGATGCCGTCGCCTCGGTGCTCATTTGCCAGCAGATATTAACCTCTTCAGACGCCTCCTTTTAGACTTGAGTTTTTGGAGATTGTTTTTCTTTTTTCCGGTCCGTGTGTTCACACCAAAAGTTTGTGTCATCCAAGGACTAGATGAGACCAAGCTCTGTTACTGCTGACCTTGGTTGGATAAAAGTCAGCAAGCTAGAGGTGAAGAGCTCGGTGTCCTGCTGCTGGGCCAAGGCAGCCCCTTCCCTGTGGCCTTTCCTGGGACTCTATTTCAATGTTTTTCATTTGATTGTAGCTTGGTTCAATGGCAATTTTCTGTGTTTTTTTCTTTTGTATATTGTGTTTATGCTTTCTGATCTTGAAATGGGTGGCTTTGATGTCTTGTTTACACATTTTAATGCATCAGCTGTAGTATGTATTGTATAAAGAATAATTAAAAAAACATATTTCAGTGATGCTGACTGTAGGGATAACATCTTTAAAATGTTTTCAAAACTACTTTCCTGCTATTTGTGGGCTTGATCAAGTAGGTTTTGGCAATATAGGATTTCATTATCTGAAAATCAAAAATAGTTTTAACTAGTTGCTGAAATAATACTTTAAAATTCCTTCAATGGAAAAAAACAAGCAAACAAAACCCCCTCAGGATCGTTATATTTTTAGCAGCTGTTTCTGTGCTGCCACCTTACCCACCTAGGGAAGGGAAGAAAGTAGAGCTAGGAAGAGGGGTGAGAAGCTGAAGACCACAATGAAGCGAGTTGGTTTGTGGAGGCCTCCCGCGCTGGGCAGGAGGTTGCCTGGGATTCTTTCCC